CCGGCCCCGATCGCATTTCCTGCAACTAGTTGCAGGACAATCCACAGACCATTCAATAAAATGCAAACAAACCAGTGTTTGAAAGAAATGAAAAAACATCACATCAACTGGTGTTTTGTTTAAAACACCGCCCTATTCACATTTCATTGGGGTCGCATGCAACAACAGTTGCAGTAAATCTTCTCTACCCCCTCAAGTGCTTGTCACCATTCAGATTGGTTACGAAAACCAACCCAAACGGATCAAAATCCCAAGTTCTAACTTCCAAAAACACATCCTGACCATCAAACAAGATGGATTATAAGGTTCATCCATCAGAATGGAGGCTTAGGTTGGGAGCATGTAGTGATGTGTCACCTCAGTACAGGCGTAACTGCAATGCAATTTTATGAGAATGGTAGACTGACCTTCCGAGCTTGGGGTTTAAAGAAGAATGAAGAACAAAAACTACCAATCAAAAGATAAATATTTATAACGTAAAAAAAAAGAATAATAAAAAGAAAGGGACTATCAAAACTGATAAAAAGGCACCCTTAACTCAGTTCCGGTGCCCAACTCCAAAATGAAATCTCTTGGCCTGCTTGTCGTTGAATGCATATTCCAACCGCAGAGGACCTAAGGGAGAGTCTACACGGATTCCAAACCCATAGCCATAGCCACTTCCAGGTTTTAACCTCGCTCCAGCTGGATCACCTGCAAAAAAAATAGGAAAGGGGCAGAAGATTACAAAATGAGTAACAAAGGAATTAACTAAAAATCAACATGAGTGAAAGAAACCACCCTTCACTCAAAGAATTGTGGATTTGGTGGCTTATAAGCTCCTCTCAAATCTTTCAACCTAGATCTAGCATTTGGGTGTTGTAATAAGCGGCCCAAAGGGCACAGCTTTTTGGTTGGCCAGGCCAACAAACATGGAACTTGGAAATAATATTTAGGTTAACCACCCAAATCTTTAAACCCAATTCTGCAGGCCAACAAGTGGCATTGCATGCATTAATATCAGAAAATACATGGAGCATTTTATTCTACTAGAATGTCATATGTTGTTAGTTCATTGACAACACAAAGCAGAACTGGTTTAAGAAGACATACCAGACACTGTTGGGCCTGATCCAAGATCACTTCCATAGTCAGCAAAAACTGCCCCTTCTACTGGTCCAAACTGCAAGATGGGAATATAATGATCAACAGTCGGTAATAGTTGCATGCAACATAGGAAAATACCAATAAAAAAAAAAAAAACATCAAAATTCCATAGAAAATTTTCCATGCATAAGCATTCTCATGGTAGGTCTGCCTCGAGGTTTCACTTACATGCCATTGTATAATTAAAAACCTTTGTCATGTCTAACCAGTCTGTTTGTGTTGAAACATCCGTGAAAAATGGAAGCTTGAGTTGTGACCAGCAAATCCACTTGTCAAAAAAATTTCCTACCATGAAAAATGGATGCTTGTATGGTATGGTTTGGAACTGGTTCTGCACATTTATCCAGACCCGACCCATTGGCAAACACTAGTGTGATGTAGTCATGACAGTAAATACTAGGCCTTTTGTTCATATTTTCTTCATGTACCCTTTTGCTAATCAAATATGGAATCTTATTGAACTTAGAAAAATGAATAGAAGCCTATCATCCAATATCTACATATCCCTAGTAGTAGTGCTTAGAAACGATATAAGAATCACAAATTATACTGTCTGTCCACTTGGGAATATTGGGTCTGACCCAGTAAGACCCTATTGACAATAAACCTATTTATTGGTTAAATTGGCACATTTGGACATCATAATATGACAATATCGCAAGTATATCATGAGAAAAAATAGGTATTTTTCATGGTGAAAGGGAAAAATAAGTATTAGACTGGGTGTTTTTTTGTAATACACACATGTATCAATGATGTATTAGTTGGATCGTGTCCTAATCTGTTCAGAACAGCCAAAACCGATCACGACCCAATTATAATCAGGGCACATCATACAGACCCAGGCTCTGTAATTGGGTCATTCTGTTTGGCTTTGGGCTACGACAAAAAATGGGGAGTGGGCTTAATTCTAATTCCCAAGCAGTGTTACACTCATATGTCAACCCATGAATATATATATATATATAGATTAAAATTTTTATATAAAATGAAGTATATTATATATAAATTATTACATATAATACATAATATAATATTTTATACTATAATCATATTATGTATATGTATATCATTAAATATATTAGATTTATTGTGGGTCTGGCCAAGAATGATAACCTCTAAACACATTGCTTAACAAGATTGATTTCTAAAATGTAGAAGCTTGAAAGCATGCTCTAGTTAACTTTGGTCTGATTAGCAGCTCCTAAGTCATGAATCACGAGCATAAAGAACATGATTTCTCAAGAGAACATTCTTTTTTTCCACAGAAGACTTGATGGAGTATAACAAAAACCCCATGCTTAAGAGTGCCATGACAGCTCATCAACTTCTGCCTATTTGGTTTATTCCATAAAATTATGATACCCCGATACCCATACAAGGGTGTCATATTGTGTTAGATAATTCAATTTTTAATGTAAATTCTATATCAAATGCTGTATGCAGGTAGCATAGCCATAAAATTTCTGAAAAGTTGCAGTTCACAGTTTACCTCAGTCAAAATAGTTCCTATGCAATTAACCACATCAAAGACATATTACGATTCTTAAATAATATTTCCCTTGCGAGCTAGGTTGAAATTTTCTGCAATAGGGCAAGCAGCAATTCATGAAAATGCAGGAAAGATTTGGCACTTCTTTATTTTCCACAGGGTAGAGACTCACCTGATTGGTGGTCTTGGAATTCTTAGAAGCCAAGACAAGGTAATTTTAGTTAGCTAGTATGCCTATCATGTTCAGGAAGTGTGAAGACTAGCAAAAATCTATTTCTGAATCCAGAAACAAATGGAGATTTACACTATCAATACTACTTGTATATACAACATTAATTAAACATAAGCTTTGGAGAGAGCTTTGGAGAGACAGGACAGATACTCTAGAGAATCACCTTAGCCGTGAAGAAAATAAACAAAAGGAAAATTAAATGGAAATAATGAGGTTTCCAAGGATCTGTAGAAACATGCTCCTTCCATTAATGTATTGAATCTGATTTTTTTGAGAACATGAAAAGGACTAGTCTATAAAAGATTGAGGCAAGATTGTGAAACACTGATGTTTTATTTATAATTTCTGAATATCTCATACTCTTTTTTGGATTCATAGTCACATGAAGGATCCTTCTTGTAATACTTTTTTTATATACAAGTTGCTTGTAACCAATCAAAAGAAGTTCAAATATTCTAGCAGAGAAAAAAAGATAAGAAATGCAGACAAAAACAAAATAAATAAAGAATAAAACCAAGATTTCTACCTACCATAGGAAAAGAAACCTCTCCACAGCCAACCACATATGACCGACCAGAGCCCACTGCACCTTCTTCATAACCTCTGACACTGTTGGTTCCACCAATTGCAAATGCCTCATGGGGGGAGAAATTACCCACCACATGACCACCAGATAAACTAGGAAACCGACAACACAGTGGGAATCAGTGGAATAATGAATTCAACTAGAACATTAGAAGCAGCCCTTCAACATGAATAACAATACAGAAACTCCCCATTACATTCATATAATGTCATTTTTTCAGCAGACTTTGCTAATGAAATGCTTTCCATGCACAGGAACAGCAATATAGGATATTTTACCTCAAAACAAGGCGTGCAGGACCAATTTCAACACCTTTCCTAGCGCGGGCATTCACTCTGTTAAAACACAGCCACTCGGGCAAAATAGGTAGTCCTTGTTCCATGTTGAAGACAAACTGTAGAGAACATAGAAAACTGAAATTAACATGAAAGTTCAATAATAGTAAAGCAGCACAAAATGCTGCACATTTTCTTTTTAAAACAATAGAGGAAACCATAAGATCAAGTTGAAAAGTAACCATTGAAGACCCATGATCACCAGATCCAGTGTAGACACTCTCAATTTTTGCAAGAAGCATGTCATCATGAGTATTCCCACTAAAAAATAAGATTGAAAAGCAAAGTGTAAGAGCAAACTCATAAGCCAACAACATAATCAAATGCATGATAATGAATATGTACTGTAGGAGTTCAAAAATGACCAGAAGGGCAGCATTTAGATGTTAATACCTTGCGGTAAGTGGACTGCTATAGCAATCCTTAATAATGGGGTTTCCTCTATCATCACGTGCACCAGCATGCTGAAGGGGAAAATGGAATTAGTAGACAGAATTGAACAATACAAAGAAATGTATCCAGGATAATGCTAAGGAACTGAAATTTATAGCAATTGCACACTTTTCCCCACAAGTTTTGGCCCTCATCCTCGTGCCATGCCAATAAGGGAAAAATGAACACTTTATGAAGGACCCTAATAGAAACAGGCCAAAAAATTGGCAATTTCAATCAAATACCTGAAAAATAAGACCAGCTGTTCCACTCCACTTTGGCCTGAAGGGTCGACTGAATTCAATGCCAGCTGTAACTCGACCAATTGTCACATTACCGCCATCATGTTGGTTCCCATGAACAAGCATTCCTGGAGTTCGTGAGTTCTACACGAAGAGATCAAGTTAGTCATTTTCTTGCAAAAAAAAAAAAAAAACTCGTTATATATGCTTCTTTTTTGTTGGGTGGGGAGGTTAACTTTGGATTACCTGAACCATAATTGACCTAGATGTCCGTTTGTCATCTCCTTCAATCCATGGATCCGTATAGTTTATACGAAATATTGAGTCAATTTGACCTCTTTCTAGTGAGATATTAAGTTTCTGGTTCCTTCCAAGAACATTCCTATGAGAATATGCAAAGCTGTAACAAAAATTGAATGAAAAATGAATAAACTGCAAATAAAAAAAAAGTCATATAAGCAAGGTTATTACAGTCTTTGTACTCCTCTAATATTAATGAATATTATCAATTGATGAAGTTATCGATCAAAAAAGTATAGGCAAGGTTATTTGTCACCATAACAAGAAGTGACTTATAGCCAGTTAGCACATAACAAAGGTCTATACATAACAGAAGTGACTTATGTATATATATATATATATATATAGAGAGAGAGAGAGAGAGAGAGACTATGTAGAGCTGCAACTTGGGCCAGGTTAGCCCAAAGCAGCCAGAAAAGGTTGTGTCAGGTTGAAATTTGGGTTAGTGTTATTGTTGAAAAGTATGAACCCAGCTTGACTTCAGGTTGTTAGGGTTGAGGCTTTGGCCAACCTGACCCCATTGGAGAAACTTAGGTTTCCAAGGCAACAAAAAGAGTTTAATCTTCTGCAGAAATACCTTACATGTCCCTTTTACTTTGGTTGCCAAAAGGTCATGTGGAATATAAACACCTAGTTCTATGAGAACTAGAATCTAATCTTTGATGGTATTTCCTCAATCAAGGAAGCTTTCCTGGAGTAGATCCCCTAGAATGTTGAATGGTTAGGTTCTCTAGTGTCAGGAATGCAAGTCTTTCATCTCATATGCATATAGAGTTGAATAAAAAAAGAGTTTGAGCATAAAAAAGCAATAATTATAATGAGAACACTAGTCTTAAAATAGTTTCACTAAATTAACTAGAACATTATTTTTTATTGGCAACCAGAAAGTAGAAACTTCATTAACTTATTAAAAAGAATGGATTTGAAGTAGATGTGCTATACATCCCTATTATAGTGTTAGGCTAGCCCCAACTAGACATCCCTATTATTTGGTGGTATAGGAATTCTTTTAGTATGAAAGCTTGTAAATTCCATGTTTACAGCCTCTAGTTGTAGAAGGGTTTTGTCTTCTTTTTTGGTTGAAAGTATACTTTACTTCTCCAAAAAGAAAAAAGAAAAAAAGTCCAACTATTGCTTTCATTATTGCATTCAATTCTATAGGGATAACCAACCAATACAAGTTACTTCTGTTCATTCCTTGCCTAGCCAACTCATTGGCTAGACTATTAGAGTTTAGAGGATCTTGTGTCCATGGAAATGTAGTTCTTAATTCCATTACCAGTTTTAGTGTTTCTCTCATCTTGTATCTGTATTTCCAAGAGCCAGTAATGCTTTGAGCCAGCCCAAAACTACCCTTGAGCCATACAACTAGCAACTCATCCCTTGTAGAATCTTCATAACAACATTTCCATGATCATTCTTGAAAACACCAATAAATCCTAAAGGACCTCAGTTAAACAAGTTACATCCATCAAAATTTAATTTGATATAATCAGGAGCAGGAAGAGGCCAAAAGGAGTGAGTTATTAGTAGTCTTAGCTGAAGAAAAAACAACCATAATTTTCCAACCCCTATCTAAAGAAAAAGGGATAAAAATTTTCAATGGTTTCACCCATGTGCCACCTGAAGTTAAATGTTCTCTATCAAAGCTTCTTTTGATTGGGCCTTGTCTTTAAATATTATAGCATTTTTGGAAACAACCTATCTGTATGTGCAGGGGTAAGGCAACATATATCTTCCCCTCCCCAGACCCCACATTGGCAGGAGCCCTGTGCACTGGGCTGCCCTTTAAATATTATAGCATTTCTTTCGTCACAAATTGTCCACCAGATTACAGCCCTTGTGTGTTTCTCCAAAACCTTCCCCCTTCTTCAGCATGGAGAAAAAAAGACTTTCCACATCCACTAGCACTTGCATCCAAAGGGTTAGGACCCCAAAAATATCATATACAAACAAACAGGAGATTAGTAAAGGGAAGCAATATTCACAGCTTGTATTGAATAAAAAACATCACAAGTATTTATTTTCAAATGTATTACCTCCCAACAGAAAATTCTTGTTTTTATTGTATCAATCCACTCAAATTGATTTCACAGGGGAAAAAGGGGAAAGGGATTCCTAAGAGAGGGTCTGAAAGAAATATGCACAAGTGAAAGAACCACAAGGGTTTTTTGACCAGACTTTGCAATCAAAATTAGCACCAAAAGAATTCTTTCCAAAGTACTAGAAAGACAAACAACCTCAAAAGTTTCCAAAACCCAAGGGTTCTCCTCGAACCTGAATCACAAGTTTACCCCTGTTCTGAGCATAGTTTTCAAGGCGCCAAGGCAAGGCTATGCAACAGGGGGCGCCTTGTCGCCTAGGCAATGGATTTTTTTTATGTAGAAAACATAGATCCTAGGGTAGTTCCCTAGGTACCATAACCATATTTCCTTAATAATTATTCATAATTTTCACAAGAGAAGTATAGAGTTCATGTTAAAGTATAGAAAATCAACATATTCATGAGAAGAAAATGAAGAAGGAAAAGAAATTCACAAAATATAGGGGCTGAACCCTTATTTTTGTTATAGGAAAAGAAGAAAACAAAATGTGTTGATTAGACAATGTGTAGTAGTAGTAGTAGTAGTAGAAAATGTGTTGATTAGACAAAATTTTAAGTTCTTCCTTACTTATTGGTTCAGGTTTTAGAGTCTTTGGGTGTTCAATACAGCATTTAGCAATGTTTATATTGATTAAACCCTAACAAATAAGAAGATTAAAAAAGAAATTAGTATATAAACACACAAAATGAATATTTTAGTTTAATAGTACCTATTTTATAAATATAATGTCAAAAAATAAAGAATAAAAAAGTATTTTATAATACATAGTACAAAACTGTTTGGCAATTAGGCGAGGTGAGCCTCAAAGGGCACCTTGTCGCCTAGGCGTCGCCTTGACAACTATGGTTCTGAGAAAGAAACAAAATGAGAACAAGCTTTTTTTTATTGAGAACATCTGGAGAATCTATCTTTCAAAGATAACTCATTCAACCACAGAACTTCCCAAAATCTACTTCTATCCTTAGATAACACATCATGCATAATGTGTTGCCAAAAAAAGAATTAAAAAAAACTTGAAAACTAGAAGACGGCTTTCGAAGGAAGGAGAAGCTAAAGATTCTCTTGCAACTGCAACTGCATCTTAGCCATTTTTCATCATCCCATAGACACCTTTAACAATAATGTGCCACAATTCATCTAAATCCAATGGAAATCTCAATAACTACTTCCCCAAAAAAGAACTTCTAAACACCAACCTTCCCATCCCTAACTCTCCTTCCTTTTTTTCCTTTTACACACCATAGTCAAATGAATCAGATGGTCACTTTTAGAATCACTTGGTTCTCAAAGAAAACCCCTCATTATTTTCCCAACCTTTTTTACAAAAAGAACTAGGATTTTGAACAAGTAGATAATAAATGTGCAGATTGGCAAAAGCTAAATTAATTAAAGTAATTCTCCCTCCCAAATAAATATAATTCCGCTCTAGTTAGTCAATTAGAAAATATATCAAGGAGGGGATATTAAAAATTGTTGGATCTAAAGTTGCTAACTAGAGAGAGTCCAGATATTTATGAGGCCGCGTAGATGCTAAGCATTCCAACATTTCTGCATTTGATCAAGAATTGAAGTTTTCAGGACCCATACTCCCCTCTGTCCTCATAAAAGATGATGCTGTAATCTGAAAATTGAAAATGAGTAATCATGGTCCTATTCCATCCAACTCTCCATCCTAGACCAAGTCTTTTACTCCAGAAATTTTAGGCCCCCATCTTATTATTAATATCTCTTTAATCATTATTATTAATCAGAAAAAACAAGAAGGCAATATAAATAGGTGGACCTCCAAGGGCAATGAATGGCAAACAGGATAAACTCTCTAGGAGGGGAAGGGCTTACAAGGGATAATCCAATTTGAGGGGCACCAAGCTAGGGGTGGCCACGAGCCGAGCTTCTCACGAGCTATTCAAGCTCGGCTCGGCTCAGTTTAAACTGAGCTTCGAGCCAAGCTCAAACCTGATATATAGGCTCGTTTTCTAATTGAGACGAGCTCGAGCCCAACGAAGCTTGGCTCGTGAGGCTCGCGAGCCTAGTAATAATAAGTAAATAATTTTTTATTACATACATGCATATACACACATATACATATAAATATAAATAGTATATAATAAATAATTTTTGTTATATAAAATATTTTTATTTTTTATGTATAATAGTAAATAATTTTTATAATTCTTATTTTTTGTATGTAAAATAAAAACATTTTATATGTACATTTTTTATTTTTTATATGTATAATAATAAATAATTTTTATAATTCTTAATTTTTTGTATGTAAAATTAAAAAAAATATTTTTATATGTATAATTTTTATTTTTTAGAAAAGAACTTGGCTTGCAGTTGAGCTTGAGCCGAGCCGAGCTCAAACTTGCAAGCTTTGAACAGAGCCATGCTCGAGCCAAACACAGTTTCAGCGAGTCAATCTCGAATAGCCAAGTATTCGGCTCGAATCCACCCCTACACCAGGCATTGGAATAATTTGAAGAGAGAGAGAGAGAGAGAGAGAGAGAGAGAACTAGGTTCTTTCATGGTAAAAATTAAGTGCCACAAGTGTAGGGATATAGAACAAATAAGCATAATATATACTGAAGATGAGATGCACAAAAATAGAACTCTTGTATAACCAAGATAGCATAACACTTACCTTCCAATTAATCCTGATAGAGGGCCACTTGTTATCCTACATATACAAGCATCACCAGGCAAATATCAGAATAATAGCATCAAAAGATGATACAATAAACAGAACCATACTACCATGAACAGAAAAACAATAGAATTATGTACTTTCTAGTTTCAACTTTTCTATATGGATAATTGGCCATGGTAATATAATTATACAACTCCAACCAAGAAAAAGTTTTGGTTTTTCATGGAAAAGTAAATGGAAACAATAACAAGTATACCAACAAACAGTAAATTGGATTACATCAAATTGAACTCGGACAGCTGCAGTATGGGAAACTTTAAGGGTTCTTATTTTTAGTAATGCAAGGATTCTTCTTTTGTTTGTTCAGGGTTCAAGCTCTTTGGCTGGATCATACTAATGAAATTATCTCTTCTTGGCCATACGTCCAAGGAGTAAAAAAGGAAAATATCCTTTTAGAGTTGTATTCCTTGGATATTTTCGGTGTAACCCTTTTTTTAGAAAGATAAAGTGTATAATTGTATTGCCAAAAAAGTATCAAAACCAGAAATTACAGGAAGCCCCAATGAGAGAAGGGGGCTCCCAAAGTATGATATTCACATTAAGCATATATAAAAGACAACTCAGAAAGTCAGCCAGGGTCGTAGCCAATTGATCCCACTGATTACAAAAGTGCTGAAAAGAAAGCCTGATGAAACTTCTCTTCAGGGAAGCCCACAAAAATAGCAGCCTTTCTGCTTTACCAAAAACTGTTAGCCGAAGTTGATTATTGTAGATGTCAGTTTTCTTGTCATTTAGTTTGTTTGCAATTTCTCAAAGTGGTGCTATCTCATCACCCTTATTGATATTGTAATCCCTCTTTTTTTAACTGAAGCATTGGTGGGTCTTTTAGAACTTACAAAAGGGAGGTACTGGTAATGTTTATTCAGGTCCTATTGGTATGGGGGATGCGACTTAGGAAGAGCTACTATCTATTCTACAAGGTTTAAAACTGGGAATTTCATTGAGATAAGAAGTTTAGAAGTGGAAGGAACTGACTGATGATCATCAGCTGGTTCAGAAATGGAGCTGCAGGAACATGGCATCTACATCATCATATCAATTATCAAGCAGGCTAGATCAATGATTGCTAGATCTAATGCTAGTTTCAACTGTGTTCCTAGATCAGCAAATACTCTTGCTGATGCTCTAGCACAAGGAGTCAATAGACAGCATTGGTATTGGAGCACATATCCCCCAGGTTAGTTGTCTATGTTGGGTCTGGTTGTATGGTGGGGAAGAGTAGAAGTGGGCTAGTTCTCATCTATCATTTGGGTGAGGGTTGATCGCACTCATTGTTGTAAGTAGAAAGCCTTATGTGCTGATTCGGCCAAGCTTGTTGTGAAAGGAAGAGGAGAAAGTTGGGGGTTTCAGCAATAGACAGATGAAAGGGAAGAAAAGGAGAAGAAGGTCGACTAGGATAGTGATTCATAACCCTAGCCGCCAGCCCCTCATTCTATTTATAATTAACTTAAATATGAGATATTACAAAGATGCCCCTAGTAGGGCGGCAACTCAAACTAAGTACTTACAATTCTTTTAAAAAATAAAAACTAATGGGCCCAAGGCCCAACAACTTCTTAATTTAAAAGAAAACAAACTAAACATAAATCGGCCCACTCAACATTGTACAGTCTGGTCTGTTTGTATTCAATTCTATTTTCGTTAAATTGATAAAGTTCAGGAAGTTACCAATGAAAAACAGTAATATTGAAGATGCCAATGACCTTGCCTGGTTGTGGCAGACACCAGGGATTGAATCCCACCTTTCACCAGGGTTGGGGATTGGGGGGGGCTAACCTTGTTGATTTTTTTTCTTTTTGAGGAAAGTATTAAATTCATAACTAATGGTTCGTCCCCAAAAGACATACATGGCAAAGCCACTGCATATGAAACCAAGAGTTGACTGTATAGTAAACAGTAAAGACTTTACATGAATCCACCCAAGCTCCCAAATACCCCCCCCCCAAAAGTCCTCTCTCTAAAATGCATTTCAAGATCTTCCAAGGATGCTCCTTAAATTCATTCCCCGCTAATCGCCAAGATTTGATACATCCAATAACATATTAGTGTTTCTCCAAATTTTATCCTCCTGAGATGATTACTGAAAGAGTCTCAAGTACCTCAATTTACATATGGTCCAAATTATGGCTGTAGAAATGGACAGCCAAAATAACTTTCTTCTTTAAGCTTGTTACAACCCAGCATTGGGGTGTTCTTTTAACCATGCCCACTAATTCTACTGCTGATAGGGTAATGCAGAAATAAGTGGTCTGCCAATTCCAGCCCATGGCTGCAGAACACGAAGCATTGGTCCTGGTGAGCACTTTATCAGTTTACACTTGGTGTGACATCAGCTCAATGCTGCTGTCCATATTAGAAAGGAGCTTTTTATGGTATAGGTGCATGCCAAACCACTCTGCAAGGGAAATCACCTTCACTCACAGCAAAGGACCTTTTTAGCAAAAGGAACCCACTAAGAAGGTGCCATTCTCTGCCAACTCTTAACTAAAACAATTAATGCTATTATATTTACATTACATTCAAATACACTTTCACAAGGTTAAACCAAAATACCAACACAAAAATCAGCAAAATGTCCCGATTCTGGTGCTCTCCAAGACAAATGTTACTTACCCACTTGAAATTCCACCACCAGCAGAGAAACCTCCACTAACACGCTCAACAACTTTCATTATCAAATCAACCTTTCCAGTATCTACAACATCGGAATAAGGAATGTTATTTTCAAATGACATGATATATACACAAATCATTTAAGGACCCATAATTTAATAATGGATATTGCACTGAACAGAAAAGGATTCATCTAGCCAATCCCATATATGTATGAAATTCACATGGAGCTAGTATTTATGCACAAACAGGACTCTTGACAATGAAGAAACATAGTTCAAAGAGAGATTCTAGTTTTTTTATCAGAAACAATAAGAATTTTATTGATATCTGTATTAAAACATGGAATACAAAGATGTGCCAAGCACCCTCAGCTTTTGAGATAACCCCTACAACCCTTCTTGGGAACATCAGTCATATTGTTAGCTGATATCAGGATCCAGTTGTGATCCATTCTCAACTCCATTGCCAATGGTTTTACCTCTCTCAATACATGTCTTTATGCATTCTTTTTTTGATATTCTTTATGTAAAAGCCTCCCACAATATAAAATAGCATGAAAATTTAAGTAAAAGAAAAATAAGGTAGTAAACAGGTGATAAGAAATGTCTTGAGGATTCTCATGTAATCCTATAATTAGTTAATTACATGATTAAGCTCAAATTGTTTCTTCAGATATGTATATGCCACTATTAACTGATATAAGTCCTCCATGCTTAGAAAATTACAATTTTAACAAAGAGGAATATAAAATAAAAATTCTAATATCACATTATTAATGAATTTTTTTATGAATAACTGTCATTGGCTGGTCCACACACCCATGAAAAGGTGATATTTAACTGCCTTGCCAGTCTCTTGATTTTTTTTTTTTGGATAAGTTTGCCAGTCTCTTGATTTCCCTCAAGACTTGTCGGTATTGCCAATGTTCTTGCCCTTGTTCCTTCATCCAGTTCACAACCACCCTCAGATCACCTTTTGCATCTATATTATCGGAATTTTGAGAAATTGCCAACCTGATTCCTTGGCTTGTTGTTACACTTTGACGAAATATCAAATTTGATGTCAAATGGGTAATTTAATATACTGTAGGTCATGTCCATGATGTTTAGAGATAAAACAGTTTAGCCTATTGGAAGTTTGGAACTTAAACAATAAAAGCTACAACCTTTATGTTTAGGTTTGCATATTCTTGTATAATGAAGTTTTCTTTTAATTCTTTTTCCCCCTTAAAAATGGCACCTCACTTAGATTAGGCACAAGTCCAACCATGTATCTCAGGCTTTATCGACCCCTTGTACTTTATTTGCAACTCTCATTTTTAAAGCATTGGCTGGAAGTGGGTTCTTCTGGTAGGCCCCTGACGTGGAGGTAGTGGTACGCTAAATTCCACACAACTCTTCTGTACAGGGATCACAGTGAGGCTTTATGTGTTTGTTTTACTCAAGCTTCATTCTGTTTTTCTCTTTTTGTTTTTTCTTTCCCCTCGTGTTTCTTGTATTCTTTGTATTTCCTCCCTCAATTTGTAATAAAATTTTCTCTCTTTTTTTGCCTTTTTTGATTGGTAACCAGAAACTTTTAATACGAGTGAATAAATAATGAATTATAAATGAATTGTGTGAAGTACCCCCTTTAAAATTAAGCCAGCGCCAGCTACATAACCCCTTGATTCCTGACTTTTTTTAGCAATTTATATTTGTTTCCCGGATGGTGACCCCCCAACACAATTGACTTCTGCTTACCCCTTATTCACTGAATGTGTCAGCTAAGTTATTGGCCAATCTATAAGTCCATATAAACTGTAATGAGCCCACTTTATCAATGAAAAGCATACATATTAACATATATAAAACAATGTTGTCAGACTCAGACCACTCAGACCTAGAAAGGCCACTGGGCCATAGGTCAATTGCCCTACCAATGAATCAGCACAGTGACCTATCACCTATGATGTTATATAGCCCATTACCCAATGTTGGTAGGGATCTTGGGAGAGGTGGAGTGGATACAGACTTAACCTTTAGCATTTTTTTGCACCAAGTGACCAGTCTCAGACTCAAACCAATGTTCCCATGCTTGTTAGCCTTAGATTTTACCATTAAACCAAGCAATGTTGTCTGAGTTAACCTGTGACTAAACTTTGAGTCTTGTAAAGCACATTTTTGCGTCCAAAAAAGCATTATCCAAAGTTGGTCCCAGCTATCTAGGGCCTTGGGAGGAGTGGACTGGATACAAACCTAACCATCAGCACTTTTTTTTACACAAGACAGTAACTCCCAGACTTGAACCCACAATCTCACATTTATCAGACTGAGATTTTACCATTAAACCAAGCAATGGTAGGTCACTTTTTTTACACAGGTTTTAGTGGGTAGGTCATCAAAAACTGTTTGGGTTGCAAAAACTAAGTCTTCAACATTTCATATGAATCAAAGGTATGGCATCCGGTTTTCCAAACAAAAACTGAAAAAACAGGGTTTTAAAAAACCAGAAAGGCTATGGGTTCTGATTTGAACAGTCCAACCAATCTAGCTTGGTACAAGCCTGACAACACTGATAAAATATCAAGTGACTACTAGCCAAAACATAGAGTACATTCAAGGATAATCTTCTGTCTTGCTCTTTTTTGGCTGTTAATTTTTTGGGAGTTCTTAATGGTGTTCATATTTACAGAAGCTTTTTGTACAGTGAACTTACTGTATACTTTCTTCTTTTGATCATAGTAATACAATTTTACATTACCTTTTTGAAAAAAAAAAGGAAAAGAAATTTCCCCATATTTGCCTTGTTTGTAAAGCAAGTTGTAATACTACATGTCATCTGCTAATCTCTGTAGCATTTGCAAGCATTTCTTTTTTCTCTTTGGTTGCAAGTGGTCCCCTCCCCCAGGGGATGTGAGTAGTTTGTTTGATTGGACAGGGATCTATCTTGCTAAAAAAGGAGGAAAGTATTAAGGAAGTGTGCTAGGGCTGCGATAATTTTATCCATATGGGAGGAGAAGAAATGAAGAATTCAAGGGTTTTCAAGGAAGTCGCTCACTATAAAGATGCACTAGTTAAAAACATTATGACAAAGGCAGTTCATTGGGCTAAAACATTGACCCTTTTCAATCATTTTTCAGTGCATGATATGCTTAGAGGATAGAAGCACATCATAAATTCCTCTTCCTCTCTTGTAGACCACACTATGGGACCTCTTCTTTGGTCCCCTCTGCTAGAAAATTACATTGAACCTTGATGGATGTGGCATTGGGAATCCTGGACCTTCAGGCATAGGAGGGGCATTCCAGTACCATGATGGCACACTTGCAGCTATATTATCAGGTCTTATAGGACAAGCAAACTCAAAAGGAGAACTCCTGGCCATCCAGTAAGGGTTAGGAATACAGAAGGACCAAAACTATTGTCAGCTGTTTTTCTTCTTTTTTTTTATTTTGATAGATAATGATAATTTTATTAATTAGAATAAAAACACAGTATACATCATACAACTCCCCACAAAGAGACGCGAGGTGCAGCCTCCAAACTACATCATAAAGCTTGCAAGTGAGCCCAAAAGAGATGATTCCTATGTACTCCTTGTTTGGCTAGGAAATCTTCTTTCCCATTGAACTATTGTCAGCAGTTTTTCTTTTTTTTTGTTTTTTCGTAAAGTGGTAACTATCATCAGCTGTTGGTAAAGGGTGATTCAAAGGTCATAGTGAAATATGGTTTTGGGGGAATAGCATGGTACTATGGTAATAAAGACATATTATGAGAGAAATCAGATAGACAGACAGACAGATAGCAAGAGAAGCGGAAGTCACCTTCACATGGTTTCAGCAAACTTATAATGGATTGGCAGATAGCTTGGCCAAACAAGGGTCAACAGAGCACAGATTTTTCAGGAATCATCCCAAGGGATTTTAATGGCATTGTAAACTGAGAAAGGTAATGGGTTAGGTAGCAGGGCTAGCCTAATATTGGGATACCTGGCATAACTCACAAAGCATTTTTTTCCAACAATTAGTAAATGACTTCAGTTTCTTATTAAAAAAAAAAAAAGAGCTCAGATTCAATGTTGAAAAGCTGAGAATCACCTACATAATAAACTACTTTCAGGCTTGGAAGATATACTTCAAAACAAGATTTATCATGTCTCAAATTCATCAAAAAAAAAGATTTATCATGTCTCAAAAAGAAGAAGACAATATCAGAAATAAAAACACCAAACAATAATAGTGTTCAAATGAAAAAAGAGTCAAGTTCACCTCCTGCAGGCTGTGGTATAATGCTAACATCTTCCATGATTCCCATTGTCAGCACAGTTTCAGCATCTCTTTTCCCCTGAAGCAAACTGTACACCTACATAATAACTTGAAGCATGAGACCTTTCTTATGACAAAAAGTATTAACTGATACAACATGACCCACATGATGCCACATAAACTTCAAGTTTTACATCCTAATTAGTCAGTCATGAGTGAATCATATTTAATAGTAGTCCATTTGTCTATGCACTTAAAATGCCAAAAAAAATAGTATTAACAACCGAACAGAGGAGACGAGAGGAAGGAGAAGAGAAGAGGAAGAGAGGAGAGAAGAGAGAAGAGGAGAGAAGAGAAGAGGAAGAGAGGAGGGAAGAGAGAAGAGGAGAGAAGAGAAGAGAGAGATTTGGAATCAACCACAGTGACTGGCGGCACCAGTTTATATTAATATATATAGGGCAATCATAATTAGAAGGAAAAGGACCCTTATGCCCCTACTTAAGTTACAGCATAAAAAACAAAAGAAAAAACTGCTTTAACTAGTCCAAACGGACCCTCACTCAGCAGAATACAAACATAAGAAATAAAACTAGTATTCCAACACTGCCCCCCTCAAGTTGGGACATGGATGTCAATCATGCCCAACTTGTCACACAAATTATTATGTAGCACATGATAAAGGCCCTTGGTGAAGATGTCTACAAGTTGTTCATCTAAACTGACATAAGGAGTGCACACTTCTCCGCTCACAAGTTTTTCTCTAATAAAATGCTTGTCCACTTCAATATGTTTTGTTCTATCATGGAGGACTGGGTTAGCAGCAATATTGATAGCGGCTTTGTTGTCACAGTAGAGTGACATAGGTTTATTAACTACAAAACCCAGCTCTCCTAACAAGTTTTTTATCCACATCATTTCAGCAACTCCATGAGACATGGCTCTGTATTCTGCCTCAGCACTGGATCTAGCCACCACACTTTGCTTATTACTCCTCCAGGTGACTAGGCTTCCTCCCACAAAGGTACAATACCCACTGGTAGATTTTCTGTATTCAATTGCCCCTACCCAATCAACATCTGTATATACCTCCACTTTCAAATGCCCATGTTTCTGGAAAAGCAAACCAACTCCTGGGAACTTCTTGAGGTATCTAAGGATTCTTTCTACAGCTTCAAAGTGAGTTGTCTTAGGATTATGCATGAATTGACTAAGAACACCCACTACATAGGCAATATCAGGTCTGGTCATAGACAAATATTAGTCTCCCTACAAGTCTCTGGAACTTCTTCACATCTTTCAAACACTCCCCCTGACTGTCTCCTCGTAGATGGTTGGGTTCAATGGGTGAATCAATTGGTTTCACTCCCAACTTGCCTGTATCCTCTAATAGATCTAGTACATATTTCCTTTGGGAAATAAAGATGCCCTTTTTTGAGCGGGCAATTTCAATTCCAAGGAAATAACGTAAGGGGCCTAGATCTTTGACCTCAAATTGAGTGGCTAGAAATTTCTTCAGCTTCTGTATTTTAGTCTTCCAGTCTCCGATGATTACTATGTCATCAACATACACAATTAAAGCTGCAATTTTCCCTTCACCTTTCTTCACAAACAAAGTATGATCTGACTGGCATTGTTTGAATACCATCTGTTACACTGCTAAATGAAACCTACTAAACCAGGCCTGAGGTGATTGCTTCAGCCCATATAAAGATTTTTTAACTTGCACACCTTCTGCTCACTACCTTTGGCACAGAAACCTGGAGGTTGAGTCATGTAAACCTCTTCCTCTAAGTCACCATTCAAGAATGCATTCTTGATATCCAATTGATGAAGTTCCCAATCAAGGTTAACTGCCAGTGAGAGAAGGATTCTGATCAAATTCATCTTGGCTACTGGAGCAAAGGTCTCTGCATAGTCTACTCCATACACTTGTGTAAATCCTTTGGCCACCAACCTAGCTTTGTATCTTTCTACTAAACCATCAGCTCTATGCTTTACTGTGAATACTCATTGGTTCTTCCCCTTCAAGAAGATCCACCAACTCCTAGGTGCCATTTTTGTGTAAGGCATTAATTTCTTCCTTTATTGCATCTGTCCATTCAGGTTTGGATAAAGCTTATGCCACATTCTTAAGAACAGAGACACTGTCAATAAAAGGAATGCACGGTATGAAAGTGAAATATGATCATAGGACACAAAGTAAGAGATAGGATGATTAGTAGTACAAGATCTAACACCCTTTCTCTTAGCAACAGGAGGATCAATGTTAAGAGGTTCAGGCATATCAATGGGAACAAGTGTACCTGGTTGATGAGGAGGATCTACCTCTGGAGAGTTCGATGATATTGGTTGCATAGTTTCAAGTTCCACGGCTCTTGAACTCTACTGGCTCTTATGGCGGCAAAAAATGACACGAAATGGAGAAGGATCAGGAAGAGGAGGTAGTTGAACCCGAGTGTGTTTCTCCTCAACCCTACTCTCCCCCTGAGGAGAAACCAAGAAGAAAGGTTGACTCTCAAAGAATGATACATCCATGGAGACATAGTACTTGTGTGAAGCAAGATCATAAATACAGTAACCCTTTTGAGATAACGAATAACCAAGAAAAACACAAGGAGTGGCACGGGGATCGAGTTTACCACGAGTAGGAGACAAATCATGAACGAAGCAACGACACCCAAAGACACGCATTGGAATGGGGGACAGCGGAGCTGTAGGAAACAAAAGTTGATGTGGGGCCTTATACTCTAGTAACCGAGATGGCATACGGTTGATGATATATGCAAAACACATAATAGCATCCATCTAAAAACGTTCTGGAACATTCATATAAAGTAATAAACCACGAGCTACTTCAAGTAGATGACGATTTTTCCTTTCAGCAACACCGTTTTGTTGAGGTGTCCTAGCACAAGAACTTCGATGAAAGGATCCACACAAAGCAAAGAACTCCATGAGATCACTATGGAAGTACTCTTTTGCATTGTCTGACTGAAAAATGTAAATTTCAGTTTGAAATTGAGTGAAAACCATTCATTGAAAGTCTTTCACAATCTTTGGTACTTCATCTCTAGATCGCATAGGATACACCCAAGTATATCTAGAATAGTCATCGATCAAAGTAATGAAATATTTATATTCAGTCTCAGTAGGTAGAGAAATAGTCCAATTCATATAGTTTCTTCTTGGTACACGACCAAGGTAAAAAAAATACTAAAAAAAAATCTGTACTAGTCGTAGGTCTGTACTTTTGATCTCAGTTGAAGAAGACAGCAGGTTGAAACTTGTTTGATCTGCTCACAGGCCTAGCAGAACCGCTTTGATACCGTATTAACAGTTGAACAGAGGAGAAGAGATGAAGGAGAAAAGAAGAAGAAGAGAGGAGAGAAGAGAGAGATTTGGAGTCAACTACAGTGACTGGCGGCGCCAGTTTATATTAATATATATAGGGCAACCATAATTAGAAGGAAAAGGACCCTTATGCCCCTACTTAAGTTACAGCATAAAAAACAAAAGAAAAAATTGCTTTAACTAGTCCAAATGGACCCTAACTCAGCAGAATACAAACATAGGAAATAAAACTAACATTCCAACAAATAGAATGCAAAAGAACTTTTTTTCTAATCAATGCAAACCAAAATTTGATGGTTGTGACACAGACTACTCTCCGCCATTCTTTCCACCACCATTGTCACCATCAGCAAGCATTCTTCACTAGTTTTCTTCTCCAATAAATTTCATATCATTTATTTGTCCATTCATTTTTTGTTCTTCTTTTTTCTCCAAAAGAAACCCTAATCTAGGGATTTGACTCCCATTCGTGTTATTCCAAGTCTAGATATAGTCAAATGGCAAATCAAGATGTAAGGTCGAGTCTCAATGTCTAATGCCACGTTTCTTGTATGATGCTGCCTTCTAATCTATAAGAAGAAATGGTGATTTGTAACAGGATCATCGATTGATCTATAAAAAGCACTCTAATTGCTTCTATGGTGTCCTCTTCTTTGTAACATAAATTTTTGGTTCATGGTAAAGCAATACACCACAACCAAGCACTTATTTATGCTTTTACTTTCAAAAGCTTGTTTTGAAAGCAACATTTGCCAAACTAAAAAAGCACAAAACATGCTTCATACTTTGGTGCTTTGGAAAGCACAAAAGCAAAAGCTTATCCAAACGCAACCTTAATTTTGCACTTAATCTTTCATTAGTTCCATCAATTAAAACAATGTCATCATTAAACAACATGAACCATGGACCACCTCCTAAATATGTTTAGTCAATTCATATATGATCAATGAAAATAAATAAGGGCTAAGTGTTGAACCTTGGTGAAGACCCATCATAGCTATAAAATCTAATGTCTCTCCTACAGGTGTTCTAACATTGGTTGTTGCATCCTCTTAGATATCCTTAATTGGGTTTCTATCATATAATTTCTCTAGAACAATGAACACCACATGAAGATCTCTCTTCTTCTTTCTTAACTTTTTCTAACAATCATCCCAAAAGAAAGATAACTTCCATGGTTGATCACCTTAACATAAATGTAAATTGGTTCTTTGATATACTTGTTTCATGTCGTAACATTTGCTCAATTATTCTCTCCTAAAGTTTCACATTGTGGTTCATGAGTTGAATCTCTTGGTGGTTATTACTACTTTGCATATCGCCTTTATTCTTTAATATAAGCACTAGACTTCTCTTTCTCCATTCACCAAACATCTTCTTTCTTTTCATTATCTTGATAAATAATAATGGCTTAGTTAGTAATAACAAGCCTACCTCTCATACCCTTTCCACACTTCTATTATAAGATCATCAGGTCTTCATGTCCTTCCCTTCATCTCATTTAGCACCTCTTTCGCTTTAGTAGCTCTACTTTACAAAGGTACATGTCGTATTGTTGTTTTAACACTATTAGTTTAGTAATCTCTCCTCCATTAGCACCCTCTACATGTTGTACATTTAATAATTTTCCAAAATAGTTTTCCAGCTTTTTCTTGATTTCCTCATATTCTAAACATCTTGTTACTAATTTCTCTGGATTGTTATAACACTATTGGTGATCTTTCTTGATTTTCACCAATTTTTTTTTTGTATTTTCCATGAAAAAAAGGGAAAAGGAAAAAGAAGCATGTCGCCATAGTTCATAACAATCCAAAGGCTGCAAATATGCAAACCAAACAATTATGATAACCACCTCCAAGATTTAGTCTAATTGACATTTGACAATTAAAACCAACTTTATAGGAAGAACAATACATTTAGTAATGTTCTCTACAAAAGCACAAGAATCAGGATGATGTAAGATACCTGTCCCTTCTTTGTTGTCAGTTGCCGAAGAATGGTTTCTGGCTTTGTCTTCCCAGAAGTTGGTTCACCACTAAAATGTTACAAGGTATAGTATATTAGCCAAAAAGCATAACTTAAACATGTGCAGCTCTTTTATGGAAAACATTGAGCACTAGAAAGGCAGGCCCTTACGTCCTCCTATCGAGGAACTCTATGCTGATATTATTGACTTCAGCTTCTGAAACTTGTAATTTAACGATCCCACCCGAAAGAATCTCAACATCTGAAACCTGAAGCAATGGTTAAAAAAGAAATGCCTATTAAAATTAATATAAGAAAATGTATATCCAGGAATCAGTTCCAGCTTTGACAAACAATGGTTTCAGGTCCCTCTTAGAGAAACCTTGCTATTATTACAACAGATGAAGCACTAACCATGCCAAATAAACCTCGCTCCATGTACCACCCATTAATGGAACGTATCACTTCATCCAAACGCCGGATGTTGACTACTTTTCCTGCATAGCTTGACACCAAAGACTCAACTCAATGAAGGCCCGTTGTGAGCAACATTTGATGCATGGCCAGCTAATGAAACATACACACACATAGGGGGGGGAGAGAGAGAGAGAGAGAGGAAATATAACTCTACTACCTATCACTAAAAAGTGCAAAATTCTGAAAAAAAAAAAAAAGGAAACTACCATATCCATCACGGAATGCATCTTCCAGAAACTTTGACGGAAGAACATTGGCTCCTTCACATATCAATCCATGGAACTCCTGGTTTGATTCTACCTTGTACCATAGAAACAAGTTCAGTTATTTATGTCGTGCTAAATCAGATAAGTAGGTAATTATATGTAGTTAAGAAAATTTTAGTGACAATTTTTGTGCTGCCCACCAAATTACAAAACTGAAATTAAAACCAATTCTCGATTGCAGTTCATGGTCATGGAATTCTACGGGAAAGACTTCAACACGCCTATAGGAGACAATGATGATCAATACTCCCTAAAATGAACATCTACCAGCTAGTTTCTTTCAGCAGTTACAATCATGCAACCACGATGGAACCAATACTTTGGGAACTAGACCAATATTTATGTTTCTTTAGTGCAATCAGAATACTTCAAGTTGAGTCCTAGCACCATTGAATAAACAGTTTCTTTACTGAGTAAAAGCTCTACAACCAAACAGCCACTGCTAACTAGATAGAAATGCGTTGCCCAGAATAAATATTGTACAGCATTTTTTTTCACATGATTTTGTATAAAAAACTCCCAAGTCCCAAATTGTTTCTCTATACATAAATGGGAAGGAAAGGAAAATAGAATTAAGCCAAATGTACCTGAAAAACCAACCGAATTCCATCTCTGGTATCAATAGCCACAGGCATGCACGAGCAAAAGTACCCACTGTTAATAATCCGGTGAACATCCTCTTGCACTTCTTGCACTGTAAGTGCCGAATTCGGGCGACAAGCCTTCAAAGCCGCTGCAGCCTCTGCCTCGAGGTCCTTCCTCTCGAGCTCCTCGCCGTCTTTGTTCCGAATTAGGACCTCACTAATCAAAACCCTCTCTTCATTTTCTCTCCCATGCCGACTTGGTGAATACACTTTTTGTTGAGGTTCTCTACCTTCCAATACATTCTGATTCGACTCCTCAGGTCGAACCAACGCTAAAGAAGAGGAACAGAGGAGCGAAGATTTGGTTATAAAATGCCCAGATTTTCTGCGGTTTCTAATCGACGAGATGAAACGGTTTATTTTATCCTTGGTTCTGATTAGATTCAGGGAGAGCGTCTGAGAGCAGAATGGAAGATCGGAGAAAAAGGGAGGAAGATGGTGGGCAGTGGCCGGGGGGCACTTGATAGAAGATGAGACGAATCGAACGCCTTCGTTTTTCGCCATTGTCAAATGATTGACGTCTAGACTCTAGAGTGTCTATTGAAACGGAAGCAGAATCTCAATTTTCGACTCTTCCCTACAGATTTGAAGTGCTGTGCACCTAGTAAAACCCTAGTTTTCCGCCATTTTTCGAACGGATTGTTGTAAGTTTGTAACAGTACGAGCTGCAACAGTGGCTACGTTCAGATTAGCGGGAAACCTCGTCCCTGCTTAGTGCGTAGTTCTACTCTCTAACGTGCGCTCAATTGAGAGATGGACTGATAGACACCTGGAAAATGCACATGAGCTCCGGCCCGCCATGGCGCCATGGACAGGTACGATGCTTTTGCGGATCTGCCAGACTCGACCCGGTATCATTTTTTCATTGACTCGGCATGCCAAACCCGGTCGGGACGGATTTTGACCGAGTTGGATCGAGTTGCCCATTTGTCAACTGGGCTTTGTGGAGTGATGTGGAGTCTACGTCATCTCTGAACAATCGTCCAGACAGTCTAATCCGGCAGGGGCCTATGATTGCGCAATTACCAAAAAACCCTTGTTACCATTGCAAATTATCAAAACTATCTCTTTTTTATTAAATAAAAATAAAAAAAATTAAATTTTCTATTTTTCTTATTTATTTCCTATCAAACCAAACACAACCTTGAGAGGCCAGTGCTCGCTGGGTTGAGGTTAAAGCCTTAAATCCGCCTTGGTAAGGGGGTTGGGCTCGGATCAACTTTACTTTGTTTTTCAGCTGGGGTTCAAGTTGGGGCTGCTCCGCACCAAGCCCAGCCCATTTGCATAAAAATGTTGCAAAATATAAATTCAGCCTTTGCCAATAATAGTGGACTATATATGGTTCGGTCCAATTAAGTAGTTAACCAGGTTTTTGGATTCAGATTAGCTTCGTGTTGGATTTGGATTGGATGGGTCAAACTCGTACCAAAACCGACCTGTTGGGGATCCTTAATTAACCAAGTTAGTAAGAAAATTCATATTTAGCTGCAAGGTTGAGCATTTTCCAGAACTTCAATGGTTTTGGCACAAGGGCCCAACGATGTGTAAATTGTTAAAGCCGTTTTCCAAAGTAGGGGTGAGCATGCTATGGGTCAGGTTGGTTCAGTTTTATATGGCAGAACTTGGAAATTATCCTATAGGGGTGAATTCTAGGGTTTTGAAAGTAGGAGCTACGCTATGAAGATCAGTTCCATGGTGGGTTCTGGCTTTGGTGGTTCTATAATTGGTCTCAAGGTCTATTCGTGGAATTTGTTTTTTCTTTACTCTCCCCCTTGACGAAAAGGGATAAGTAGATTGTATTCCACCTCATAAATCTGAATTAAACTTCTGACCTACAACAATTCAAAATTATAATCACCTTCACCTATACCTGCCCATGAATTGGCATCAATTCCAAGCTGGCACCTACCCTCACCTGTACGGTGGAGATAGGATTTCCGAGGGCGGATTGAACAGTAAAAACTCCTAAAAAAATGAAACATGTTCTTTAAAATCTTTATTTGCAAGGGAAATTGTCCAAAATTCACCATGAGTTTTTAACATTTCTCTTAAACTCACCACAACTTTTTTAAATGTATAAAACTCACCATGTCAGTAAGTTTTTATTTTCCAAAACTCACCTTCTGTTAGTGCACCGTTAATGCTTCTTAACAGAGGTGTCCATGTCAGCATAAATAACAATTTTTATGACCAAACTACCCTTGAATGGTGAGTTAGAGGAAAAATGGTTTTTTTCAGTTTTCAAATTTCTTGTTTTTTTTTTGCATTTTTAGTGTTTTGTTATAATTTCAATGTTTTTTATAATTTCTGATTTTTTTACATTTTTCTATCTTCTACAATCTATAAAATTTCCTGTATTTTTGTTATTTATTTACAACTTTTGTGTTTTTCTATAATTTTTGGTGTTTTTTCTACAATTTTTATTTTCTGATTTTGTTTTTCAACTTCTATAGTTTCTATAATTTGAAAATAATTTTTTATTTTGTTTTTAATTTCTATAATTTTTTATACTTTTTGTAATTTCTATGTTTTTATATATTTTATATTTTAAAATATTTTTTTGAACTTTTTCCTTTTTTCATGTCTAAATATTAAAATGGTAATATATTAACACCCATTAATTTATTTTGTATATATTTTATATTTTTCTATGAAGGTTAAAATGGTAATATATTAACACCCGTTAGTCTGTTTAACGTAAAGTTAGTGACATGGTGAGTTTTAGATATTTTGAAAAGTTGTGGTGAGTTTAAGAGAAATACTGAAAACTCATGGTGAGTTTTAGACAATTTTCCTATTTTCAATAAATATACTATATAGTTTAAAACTTACATTGTCTTTATTGATGAAATTGAGCAATTTAATATGTAAATTATTATGATATATTAATGTATGGTTCAAAACTTATCATTATAATTTAAAATTTGTAAATATTACCTTTCACATTACTTATTACACATTCAAATATTAAAATGAAACACAAATGATAAAATCACTTAAGTATCTCAATGGTCAAGTGAGACCATGGCCTTTTGTAACCATGAGTACTTACGTTTAAATCTTCACATCTTCAAAATTATTTTGGGGTTTATTTGAAGGCAAATTCAATTCCAAAGCTAATTCATCCGATCGATTTGGGTCGGGTAAACCCTTAGACCCTGGAATTAGCCTGAGTGGGGGTCGGTTCCAATAATTTGGAACTAAACCCTACCCTGTAACAAATTGAGTAGAGTCAGTTCAAGGTTGGTTCGAGGTCAAATCCATTCAGACCAGGGTAGAACCTAGCCATTTGCTCGCCCTTATTTTGGAGTGTTTTTTAGGGGTAATCATTATGACTAAGAAATTCCATACTTGGGCATATACCTAATACTTTATCTAGGGGTGCTCATGGTTCGGTTAACCAAACCGTGGGGCATATTTTGTAACTGAACCGGTAGTATTGGTTTTTGGAGAACCGGTAACCGAAACTGAACTGAAACCTATCGGTTAACCGATTGACCGGTTTGGTTAATTGTTGGTTTGGTTCGTCGATTTTTTGATTTTTGAATTTTTACAATATATTATAAAAATATATAATAAAATATTATAAATATATATAAAATACTATATTTTAAATAATAAATAATATATCATATATTATAAATATATATTTATATATATAATGCATATTTATTAATTTATAATATATATAATATACATAAATATATATAAAATATATAAAAATATATGTATACCGGTTGGTTCAATTAACTGCCAGTTTTCTATATTGGTTAACCGAAACCGAATCGGTGCCTTTGGTTTTTTAAAAACACCGAACCGATTGGTTCGATTAATTGATTTTTTGGTTCGGTTTCGGTCGATTCGATTTTTCGGTTATTTTTTTTCTCACGCCTACTTTAAGCTTGCCCAACCTAGGCATAGGCTTATGTTTCAGTTCAGAACCCCGGTTGGACTGGGCCCAAGCCTAGGCTATAGTCTTAATCATAAGTGTAAAGCCTGGCCCGACCTAGACCATGATCAGCCCTTCTCTAACATTTTTTGTGCTTTTCACTTGCATCAAAAAAGCCTATTTGAAAGGTAGGAAAAAAACATTTGGCTTCTCACGTTTATAAGAGACTATTTTGAACCAAAAAAAAAAAAGATTGATGATAAGCCAAACACTAAAAAAATGCTTTTAGAAAAAGTCACATTTTCAAGAACCCGTTTGGACCAAAAAAAAAAAAAATCCTAGCTAGACCTATGCTTATCCACATTGCAATTGATCCTTGGGCGTTGGTGTTTATTCTCATATAGAAGGTACTTACCTTTCAGCTAGTTGTTAAGGTCTCTGTCAGGTTGTATAGAAAATTTGAGATCAAATCCCACCTTCACCAGTGTCGGGAGAGTCGTGGGTTTCAGGAATGTTCTATCCCCCCTCTTGTGTAGTGTAGCCCCATGCCCCATGGAACACCTCACACCCCACTCCATAAAAAAGGTCTTTCTCATGAGGGCAGATTCAGTCCTCACAAAATTGTGCTTACATCATTTTCACAGCCCTTTTCAGCCATACGTTACGAACATCTCTATACCTATGTCTTTTTATTCATAGGATATGTTTCCAATGCAGGCTGAAAAGGGCTGTGAGAACAGTATGAGTACAATTTTGTGAGGATCAAATCCGATATCCTTTCTCATCTATAATAGGTCGTGTTTCTAGTTAGGAGGTCTCTTCATGCTACTTTTCTGTTGCTGTTTTGAATAACATACATTGCATTTGGGTAAGCTTTAATTTGGGCAAAGGCCTAAAAGTCATTTGCTTCAAATCATGTAGCAATCTCTCACCCCCGCCTCAGAGCATGTTGCAATCACACATTGGGAACATGAGGGGACGTTTCAAATGCACGGCTGTGAGACCAGTGAGATGGGTGTTAGGACCATTCTGTGAGGAGGAAAAACGACTCAATTTTGTTTTCTACAGCCCAAAGCTCAAAAGCAAAAATTTATTCAAACCACACATGGTTATTATGCACTTGTCATTCCGATATATTACAGAGCTACCCTAGACAAGTCTAATATTATTGGCGTAAATTTCTACCTTGCAATCAAACTTTTTAAATGCTGGACATAGTGGGTATTAGCCAATGCGTATGGTTTGTTACATTAACAAAATCATAATTGTTTTGAGTTGACCAATTGTGGCAATTATTTTTATTTCGAAGAAGAGAATCGTACAGATTGACAAACAGCTTCAGTGTTAATTAAAAAGTGGGGATGATACAAAAATAATACACTGGTTTGCTAAGTGTATTATTTAGTGAACTACCCCCCAACAACTCAGGATTCCTTCACATGGAAATTTAGAGCCCTAAACCATTGTTACATGTGAGACCAGATCTACTCCTTAAAAAGTTAAAAATATGGGAGATGTTTCCAATGTGTAACTGCAATGTGTTGTAAAATTGGTGTAAGGAATAAATTCGGATTTCAGAAAAAAAAACACTATAGCCTGCTTGGTTCGTGGGAATAGGGGTCTAGAATTAGAATTGGAATGGGTTATTTCGATTCCAACAATTTGATTGGGTGGAATCAAAATCCCATTCCCATTCCCATTGAAATGGCATTCCCCTATTTGAAGAAATGAAATTCTATTCCTGCTGATTTCAATTTTCATTCTCATTTCTGTCTGAACCAAACATACTCCGGTTCCGATTCTGATTCCAACTACGAACCAAACGGGTGCTATATTTGCTCAGCAATAGTAACTTAAACTTTTACTCACACAATAACAAAGTTATACATGAAATAATTTGAGTTGGAATTGATCCAAGTAACATTAGAATGGGAACCGGGTCAGGATATGAATATGCAACCATCAAGTTCTTCTCTCTCCAAGCTTCAGCTCAGGTCCAAGATGAAACATTTGTGCACAATTGTTTTAGGCTTTTAGCATGTGGATTGTAATGGAAGCCAGAGAAAACAGTTTATTAACATTGTCATATGGTTAAACCAAACAGTTTACAAGATTGTGTTTGTTTGTTTAGTTTAAAATCAACCAAGTTGTCTGCATTGCAGAGCTTAAAAATTGCAGTGGGGCAACACTTGTAGACAGTAATAGCCCCTAACAATGAGCTTGACCTGGCAGAGTCTGTGGTAAGTAGGTGCCTGTTTGGGAAAGGCTTTTATTTTGCTGCTTTTGGGTTTGTAGAGTGAGACTCACCCAAAAGGCCTGTAAGCAATGTTTAATAAAAAAGAACTGAAACTATTTTTGAAAAAACATGGTTTTTACTTGACTTCCTCAAAGCAACCCGGGCAAAAATCAATTTTAAAAAACTCGCAACCATTCCAAACAGGGCACATGTAAATGGGATGGGCTTTCATGTTGCTGCTCCCGACTTTGCAAAGTGGGACTCACCCAAAAAGCCTGAAAGCAATGTTTGATTAAAAAAAAACAGAACTGCAACTATTTCTCAGCCTACATGGCTTCTAACTTGAATCTATTGATTTCCTCAAAGAAGCCCAATAAAAGCAATTCAGCCAAAGCTCAAGCTTTCCAAACAGGGGCTTTGTGAATTGGATGAGCTACTATGGTTGGCTCATTTGGGTGGGGTGTGCGTTGTCGTTATGTGGAAGTGGAAGGCAGTCCCAACTCCCAACCTTGTGAGTGCTTTTGTCTGTTGTCCTTGAAAAAGAAAAAGAAAAGAGAGTGAAAGGATGGCAATAGCAAAACTCCACGTAGTTAGGATAAGAGTAGGGGTAGTGCACACGATGATTGAGAGAACAATTGAGAAGCACTTATTGAACACAATCATACCCACCTTGAGTCCTTTCAAGGCTACCTTCCAAAGTTTCGCTTCTTTACAGAATTACAGTGTCTATGGCGGTGGCATGTGCAGTACTGCGCGTGCAACCATGCAAAAGTAATACAAAAGTGAACTCCAATCTCACAAGAGATTTATACTTGGAGAACAAAATCTATGCACCATATGATTGGTTGAATATAATGATAATTATATTTAGTAAAATGTAAAATAATGAAAAGTAATCAAATTTTAATATGTTGAGATTAGCCAACAACCAAGATGTAGCACGATCTGACTGTTCCTGCTGGAGGATGATCTGGTTTTTAGTCGGACGGCGAGCTAGGTGGATGTGCCAAATAAGATAAGAGAACTCGGGGTGGTTAGCCCAGTGATGTCGCTTCGATGCTTAAGTTAATAAGCTGTTTGCGAGCTTAAATGACTTTGAATGTAGAGACTAGAGAGCTAGAGAGCAGAGAAATCACGCGTACCTTATGCCCTCGGGGTTGGAGCCTTTATATAGTTGAGTCCTCATGGGTTTTGCGGATCGGTTCCGGGATCTTCGTCACGATGGGATCCATTTCCGCTTTAATTGGGGGATAACGTTATCAACTGATAAGGTTTATCAATTTCGCCCGAACCGGGCGGAGAGATGATAAGGCTAGCTATTACGCGGCGTGATCCCGTGTGGTTTATAATCTGTTGGAGGGATTTCTGGGATCACGTAGTGGTTTGAGTTGGTATCCCCGAGCTGATGCTTTTAAGTTCCGAACTGGGTTGAATGGCGAAGTGCCTTGAGGTCGAGGTGATCTTGTTGCGATTTGGTACCGAGGTGATCTTGTCCCGAGGTCACCTTATCCCGAGGTGGTTGAATTTTCGAGCTTGATCTGTTGCGAACTAGTCATATCAAGCTGAGTTGTCATCTCTTGGTCAGGTCGTGTCCATGTGTCCCCTTTTTACTAGGTTGGGGCCAAATCACCCTTCATCATTAATTGAACTTAGATTTGGCACATAAAACTTAGTTTGGAAAGAGTATAAATACAAATATGTACAGCACAAATACATATAAAATATAAGGTTTTGCACTACATATTTGTATTTGTACTCCTTTCAACCGGAGTCTAAGGCTCAGTTTGAAAGGAGTACAAATGCAAATATGTAAAATGCAAAACTATATATTTTGTATTATTTTGTATGTATTTATATTATATATATTTGTATTTGTACTCCTTCCAAATTGAGTTTACTACAATGCAAATGCATACAAATATTACAAAATATAAGGTTTTGCATTCTATATATTTGCATTTGTACTCCTTCCAAACTAAGCCTAACATATTTATATTTATACTCTTTCCAAACATAACCTTCGGTAATTGTTAAAAAGCATGTATAAATTTGATAAAAAACAAATTGCAAACTTGGATCAATTTTGCAAGATCAAAATCTACCTATTTTACATTGATCCACTTTGAGTGCAAATAAATATACATAGCTTCACTTTCAATACAAATATGTATTCTTACCAAACAATTGCAAATTGAAGGACAAATTCATCTGGGTTCTGCATTTGCACTCTTACCAAATACATCCTTAGGTAAATAATATGCTAAATACCGATTTTTTTGTTATGTTAATTGTTTTCTTTTATGTAATAAAGTGTTAATAGTTTTACGTACAGGGGATGAATCTTGACCATGTAAATTGATGCCAAATTCATGGACAGGATATGGTTTATAGGGGCTACTTGTTAGACTATGGGGCTTGTCATTCAGAATTCTGTATTGGGTGCAGTATACTTAACCTTTTTTCTTTCCAATTTTGTTATGAATAATTATGATTTTGATTACAAATTAGAAAAAAAAATCATTTTTCCTTACGTACAAAAAAAAAAAAGAAACTAGTATTATAAAAGTATTTTTTTGAGTCTCCCCAGTCCCCACCTTCTCTAGTATTTTTTTATTAAAGTATATTTTATTATATTTCCGATTTCCATTATCAAAACTGAATTGCACAAACTTCTTGTTTTCCCGTAATTTTACGAACCACGAAAGTCAAGGGGCATTTTCGAGATTTCAAGCAGCGTTCATTCCAGAGTGGTGTAGAAACCCAATGGGACGTTGGAGATTCGAAAATTTAAAAAGCGGACCACCATATAAAGAAATTCCCACCATCTGGTGCGAACGACAGAAACACTTTGCCTTCTGGTGCGTTTCGTCTCAGCGGTCGCAGCCCTCCCATTTGGAGAACCCTAGCTGTGAAAAGTGACCCTCTTTCCATACTTCCATCTCTGGTTTCGGTAAGCCCTATCTTTTCCAGACGTCTTCACGTGGCCGCTCCGCAATCCGACGAAGATAATTAGATAAACGTCAAAATTCAAAAGGTGCCCAGTCACCCATCAGTGATTTGCAGATTCTTTTATTCCCCTTGGATTCAATTATGGGGGCAAATATGGTTCTTTAATCTTGTTTAGTTTTCTATAAAGACTTATATATCTTCACGTGCTCAATTTTGATTCGGTTGGTTTCTGCAACTCTAGATTGATTGCAAGTCTTGATTGAAGTGAACTTTTCTGATGATTCTTACTATCCTTTTTTTCTTGTCTGAAAGAAGTATACTAACCTTATGGCACTTAAAGGATCAATTTCTTGTAAAATTATAAAAGATTTTACTGTAGTTATCGGCGAAGCTTTGATTTATTTATTTTTTGGTTTGTTTGTTTTCTGCTAGCCTGATGCTATGATGTATTTTATTGTTCTGACTTCGAAGTTCGAAGGCCAGCAGGAAGATTAAGAATTTTGAAAATTTTGGTTTAGATAACGAGTTTGACTTTTGTTTTTTTCGCTTCCGTTGGTTGGCATCGAAGAGCCTGCTGTTTTGCGAGGCGGAAATGGAGGCAAAGGCGAATGGAACCGATGATCTTAAGGTACCTCTTCTTCAACCCTCGGAGAGTGTTGCAGTTACCGTTTCTCAACCAAATGCAAAAGGATTTAAGAAAACGAGGAAAAGTATGTTCAAAATCGGAGGGATCAAGTGCACTTCTTGTGCAACATCTATAGAATCTGTTTTGAAAAAGATTGACGGAATTGAAAATGTTACCGTATCACCTCTTCAAGGTCAAGCTGTAATCAGATACGCTCCAGAACTCATCACTGTAAGTCAGCTTCACGTAGTTTGTTTTTCGATAGATATATGAGTTTTCCACCATTTTAAGATTTTAAGCCAACCTAATACTCCTTAATTTGGTTTTGAGGCCACAAACCCGAGTTTGGAACCCATCTACACCATATATATCCCAAGGGCCAAGCCGCCAAGGTGATGCATTTAGTATACCGCTTCAAGATGGCTTGCTGAACCTCTGAGCCTGATGGAAAAGGTTTACCTGTTGGAAGCACTTGAATTTAGAGTGTGGCAGCTTGCTTAGTTGGCAAAGTATGCAAGCATTGTTACTGTAGGCTTTGGCCTTAGAACCAATCTTAACGCAAGAAGCATATAGTGATATAGATACATAAACTTACATTCATAAACATTAAAATATAGCGATGAAACGCACAGAAAGCGGTTGATTTGTTTTCTTCAGTTGATACCCTTTTAATGGCATTCTATTTTCAAGTTTTGGCTATGGGTCTGTATTCAAGTACAGTGTTCAATGGGTCCCTCCTCTGTGATCCCCACAAAAGCAGTAGTGTGAATATAGTTAATACTGCATCTTAGCATGCTTAGGGGTTGTTGGCTAATATGTATGATTTTGTTTTCTTTTAAACGAAAAAACATATCTCATATCATAAAAATCAATAACATATTGGGCAATATCCCCTAAATGACTGAGAACTGTATCCATATTTTCTTATGTGGAGGCTGCACTGGTCATTGCGTGATATTTCTATATGGGACCATGTTAAAACAATTAAATTGATTCCCTAAAAAACATGTAACTTGTGAAACTGATACTTATAAATGTGTTGAAATTTTTTGCTGAGTTATCTTCTGACTTGCCTTGGCACTAAAAATCCAATATAGATTATGTGAATTGTATCATAGCAATACCAACTTCAGCACATGCATATCCTTGCATTTTTTTTTTCACCAATTCAATGAGATATTTGAATATCTTTTAACCCCTATTCTCCAAATGTATACCTTAGTATTCCTAATAAACATGAAAAAATACAAAAAAAATATTTAATTAGTGGTAATATTCCCAATGAAAATTCCCAAGAATGAGGCTTGTCAGGATGGCACTGTTAACTTGGTCACCTTATGGGATCTTGGTTGTAGATACAAATAGGTGTTTACATGCAAGTGTAGATATTACCCTTGCAGACAGAATTACTGTGAGGTTCTACATTTGTTCATATATATTTCTAACTATAGGTCATTTTGCAATTTAATATGAATTTATTGCAAGGTTCTACATTTAAAGACATTTCTAACTATAGAACAATGTGACATTCTTCTGATGAATTCAGTTTCCAGGATTTCCTATTGGTATTATTTTCATGTTTAACAATAAAAGTTGTGTTCCCTTCAGTCAAAAACAATCAAAGAAACCATAGACAACATAGGCTTTCAAGTTGAGGAGTTTCCTGAACAAGATATAGCAGTATGCAGACTCCGAATTAAGGGAATAACATGCACAAGTTGCTCTGAATCCATAGAGCGCGCCCTGATGATGGTTGATGGAGTGAAAAAAGCAGTGGTGGGTCTAGCCCTTGAAGAAGCAAAAATTCATTTTGATCCAAACATCACTGATTCTGACCAGCTCATACAAGCCACTGAAGATGCTGGATTTGGAGCTGATCTCATTACCTCGGGAGAAGATATGAACAAATTGCATCTAAGACTTCATGGAATTAGTTCTCCGGAGGAAGTGACCATTATTCAGTCCTCCCTTGAGTCAGTAGAAGGTGTGAATCACGTGGAAATGGATAAAGTGGGACACAAGGTGACTATTAGCTATGACCCCAATCTTACTGGTCCAAGGTCTCTCATTCAATGCATCCAGAAAGCTGGCAATGAGCCTCATCTCTACCATGCAAGTTTGTATGTCCCCCCAAGACAAAGAGAAACTGAAAGGCAGCATGAAATTCATGCATATAGAAACAAGTTTCTTTGGAGTTGCCTATTTTCAGTTCCGGTATTTATGTTCTCAATGGTACTTCCAATGCTTCCTCCTTATGGAAACTGGCTAAACTACAGGATCCACAACATGCTTACAATTGGGATTTTTCTGAGATGGATTCTTTGCACACCAGTACAATTCATTATTGGCCAAAGGTACTAATTCAGATGCTAGCAGATAACTTTTAGTCCTTGTTAATGCTGTCTTTCTGTTGCCAGTGTGAGGAATTTCTTTGTTTGTGAATGAAGATTAGTATGCATGAAATGTCTTCTGATACTTAGTAATTGAATATCTCTGTCTCTTAATTTTCATTTCAGGTTTTATGTTGGAGCTTATCATGCATTGAAACGAAAGTCTGCTAATATGGATGTTCTTGTTGCATTGGGCACTAATGCTGCTTATTTTTACTCTGTATATATTGTTATAAAAGCATTCACTTCATATTCATTTGAAGGACAGGATTCCTTTGAGACCAGTGCTATGTTGATATCTTTTATTCTCCTAGGAAAATATTTGGAAGTTGTAGCAAAGGGGAAAACATCAGATGCTTTGGCAAAACTGACAGACCTTGCACCAGATACAGCTTATCTGCTAACATTGGATGGGGAAGGAAATGTGATCTCAGAGATGGAAATAAGTACTCAACTGATACAACGAAATGATGTAATTAAGATAGTTCCAGGGGCAAAAGTTCCTGTTGATGGAGTTGTTATAACGGGACAAAGCCATGTAAATGAGAGTATGATCACCGGAGAATCAAGGCCCATAGCTAAGAGGCCAGGAGACAAGGTTCTGTTCTTGTTCTATATCTTTCTTCTTATATTTCTTCTTTCTTGGGGCCATTATTTGGTGCAATGATAAAATCTTGGGCTGGCAAACATGAGAACGTGGGTTTGAGTCTGATAGCAGTCACTTTGTGAAAGAAAATGCCTAAGTTTAGGTCTGAACCAATCCAGTCCACCCCTCCCAAGATCCCACATAACTGGGACAAAATTTTGGCAATGGCCCTTTGACCCTTATATATTTCTTCTTTCTGCATTGTGAGTAACCTTGTAAACTTTATCTGGAAGCCAAATTCCTAATTAATTTATGCTTTAATGTGTCATAATCAGGTTATTGGTGGAACCGTAAATGAGAATGGATGCTTAGTAGTTAAGACTACTCATGTTGGGTCAGAGACTGCATTGTCCCAAATAGTACAGCTGGTGGAAGCTGCTCAACTTGCCAGAGCACCAGTTCAGAAACTAGCAGACCAAATTTCAAAATTCTTTGTCCCTATGGTAGGTTCTTTCTTTGATGACTTGCTCTTTCACTTTGAAGTTAATAATGATCTACTCTAGTCAGTTCTATTAGCTCATTATGAATGGTTAGTTCAAAGGCTCAACATGTATTGTGTTTCTGTGAAATAGTTGATTGCTTAACTCCTGTAAGGTTGGGAAAAGTGGTGCTTGAAACAGCTATCTAGTCAGTCATTGTCAAAATACAGAACCACAAAATAAAGCATCTTCTGATTTTGAATATTTTTTAAATAATGTCGTCTGATGAATAGTTTCTTTTGAACTCATACATTTATCACTTTCAGGGCAGAGATGTCTTTCACTCAATGTACAATTTTTTTTTGATGATACAGTGAACAATGTACTCTTGCTTATACATTTATCATAGGAAGAATGTTGAGAAACTAGTTTGTCTATTTTTCTAATTCAATTGTTTCCTCAGGTATGCTTCTGCGATTTTCTGGTGAAGGTAAACCTATGAAAGTAAAATACAAGAAAATGAATGTTGAGAAAATAAAGATGAATAACTCTTGAAATACACTTGCTTTCACTGGAAAAGAGACAGATGAGTTTAATGAGTATCTAGGGCCATAAGATGGCCAGTTGACACAAATAATGTCTCACTATCATAGTCTATATGTGTCCTCAGAAGAAAAGTTATCTGCTCTTTATTTTTGTATATACCAATTAAATTATGGTGGATAAAATGTGACATTTATCTGCTGCATAATCAGTCAACTCCACAGGATATTGACCCAACGTACAAAACGATATTTTGCCATTCCATTCTTTCAAGGGCCATATCATTGTTAAATTATGAGACCTCTAGTTTTATCTGAATCTTCAACTTGCAAAAGATCATTTACTGACAAAGTTGGTGGTCATTTGTGTGCATAAACAGTCGATCATAGTTGACTGCCCCTCATTACCTACATCGCACTTGTTTATAATTCTAAATTTTAAATCTAATCTTACCATTCACTCATCTCAACATCATGAACTTGTATACATGCAGCCTCTTTTGCCTACTACTTTTCTTCATATATATATATATATTATTGCTGGTCTTATAGTCATTCTATAAAATTTTCATTTAAATCTAATTAACATGCATAAATCAGGAACAACTCTAGATGCTCCTATCCACTTCATTTTTCTTGCTACACTCCCTTCCAGACTTCATGACTTCTGTTACTTGCCATTGCTACCATCCTAAATCCTTTCTTGTTTTACATAAACTCCGGGAGATTTTTCTTCCAGATTCTAATCAATTTTTAAAAACATAAATTAGTATCAAATTTGTCCATCAATTTGCTGTTAGACCAGTTTTGTAATAATTATGGTTCATTTTAAAGTACTTTTCCTCTGTGCAAGGACCTTGACCTTTTGGTTCTAAGACTTTATTAAAGTTCTTATGTTTCATATAAATAGGAATATAGAAGGGAAAAATCTCCATGTTTTTCCCTTGATGCAATGTGTATTTATTTCCCTCCACCATATTGCAGGTTGTTGTAGCAGCATTCCTTACATGGTTGGGTTGGTTCATTCCAGGAGAAGTTGGTGTATACCCTAAATGCTGGATTCCAAAAGCCATGGATCGGTTTGAGTTGGCTCTGCAGTTTGGCATTTCAGTTCTTGTGGTTGCTTGTCCATGTGCTCTAGGACTAGCAACCCCAACTGCCGTCATGGTTGCCACTGGGAAGGGAGCTTCTCAAGGTGTCCTCATCAAGGGTGGAAATGCACTTGAAAATGCACATAAGGCAAGAAATCACGTCAAATAAATATACTATTTTTTTGATAAAGAAATGGAGCTGAATAATCTGTATGGTAAAAAATGCAGTTAAATATCCAATTTTAGGATTGCTTTTTTGTTAGAAATTGAATTTATTCTGGACTTGAATGATTAACTAGGCCACATCCCTCAAGATGCAGGTACAAACTGTTATGTTTGATAAAACAGGCACATTGACAATTGGAAAACCTATTGTTGTTAATACAATGCTCTTTTCAAACGTGTCTATCCAGGAGTTCTGTGATGTGGCTGCTGCTGCTGAGGTGAGGTTGATATTTAACACCTAG